TACAACTGTAGCTTGCCTCCACCAGTGTGTGAATGTGAGAGTGAATGGGTGGATGACTGGACGTGTAAAGCGCTTTGGGGTCCCTAGGCAGGACTAGTAAAAGCGCTATACAAATACAGGCCATTTACCATTTACCATTTCATCATGTAATTGTGCAGTAATATTCTGATGTGACATGCTGAAATTGGAATAGCAATTATGTTCTCAGAAATTATGTAAGCTTAGAACAAGACTTATTTTCAATATGCAAATGCACTTACTGAGCAGCGTCAGGTTTCTTTTGTTGATCTACCCACACACTTTGTGATATTCAAAACTGATTGAAATAATGGGCTGAAACTGGATCGTTGTGGTCGGTTGCAATTACAACCGAATGCTTTCCGCAGTCAAAGAATACTGCTTTGATACAGGAGCTGATGACTGATGTTTGAATGTTTCCACGGAATGACACATCTGCTGTATTTTCATAATAGGTGTTTCAATCCTGCTGAGAATGTACAAAGGCCAGAATCATATGACATAAGTGACTTAATGGTTAAAAAAAGAAAATGTGCAAACTGCTTTGGGCTGCCAATTGTCCATCATGTGAGTTGGGAGTTTTAACTTTCAGTAGCCTCAGTTCTGCACTCTAGAGCTGGAAATTCAACATTTTAACTGTTTTGAATGGTGGCAGTGTAACAGGAGCTCACTGCTTTGCAACTGAATGAATCAGCTCCATTTACGCTGTCACAGTTTTTGTTGCACCATCAGTCACTTCCACTTCAGTGGCAGCAGTAGGGTCAATGGCATCCTTGGGGCATTTATGGCACTATAGAGGAAAAGAGCAATAGAAAAGCATGGGGGTGCATGTTCTTCAGTGTTGGCGCATATATGGCACAGTGTATAATCAAATAAAATGCACATTTTTTATGCAATGTACACAGAAAACATACAATAAAAACCCTTGTAGCATTGATTTAATATGATGCACTAATTTTAAAGTATGGGTTTAATCAATAATGGCCACAGAAAGTAAACTTCCTCAACTAGATTCTAGTGCAGACATAGGATTAAACTTTTCTAAAGAATCCTCAAAAACAGCATGAAAGACACATATATGTATGTATGTATATATGTGTGTGTGTGTGTGTGTGTGTGTGTGTGCATGCTACATATCTGCATATCAAATAGCTCTAAACTGCCCCATTGCACTGTGTGTATACAATCCAATGCACCTCAATGTGTTCTGAATTCCATTAGGAGACTATCACAACTCCACACATCATTATAACCTAAGCATCTTAACACCTGGTATTCCCCTATTAACCTTACCTAATATAGCGGATGAGAAACACACTCCTCTCTCATTCCTTGAGCAAGGCATTTGGCATCTCATTGCTCCAGTGGAGCGATGAATGAGAAAATGAGATTTAAGAGAGGCACTGAAGGCCTGTTTTGACTCTATATGTTTTTTTCCCACTTCAGCTCTGCTATGCTGGTGCTTTAGATAGAAGTCATAGATAGTATACTAGCAAAACAAGAAGAAAACAAAAAAAAATGGATGTGTGCAAGAGGTTCTAAAAATATCTTAGCTTGAAGTCACATTCAAGGAAGAATGGCTTAAAATTGCAATAGTCATGAACAAAAAAAACTAATTTGCAGCAGGCATAAGTTATGGCGTCTGTATAAGTTCAGGATTTTTTTTTTTTTATGATTACCAGAGACTCATTGCTTGTAGCACATTCGGAAAAAAACCATAATTTACTTCACATAGGACTCATTGTTGAATTTAGTGTCTTTATCTTGGCGTCATTACCTTGGACGAGGATGTGAACTGAGGTGGTTCTTGGTCGACTGCTTGTCTGGATTGCACACACATACTGTCCTTCATCTGTCATGTCCACATTTTCAATCTTGATGGTGAACTCCTCTTGATTAAGAGTCACCAAACTCACTCTGGGATCAATCGACCACTTGTCTTCTCCAGCATACAGTATACTTGACCGATTAAGCCATGCTGTGTGTGTGACAACATCCCCCAGTGCACACCTGTGAAAGAACAAAAACGACACTGAAAGTAGGGTTATTTTTAAGATTCAGTGATTTCCATGAGGGGGTACTCATGGAAATCACAAAAACATACGTTATATGATCAACCCCTCCCCACTATGTATAGACTTATTTTTTTAAATGACAAATTAGTATTTATTAATTAATTTTTTCCCTGTTTCTTTGAACTAAAAGCGTGTACTCTATTGCATGCTACATTTATGATTCAAAAATGTGCTGATGCTTATAAAAGCTGAACTTCTGGTATGACTCAGTGTAGAGAGAGGGGATTGTGCAGCTGAATTTAATAGGATTACTTTTAGATTATACACTAATAATAGTAAGCAAGTTCAATAGACACAATATGTGTTGTTTTTTATTTATTTTTTAAGAATCACTGTATTACTTTTAAAAAGTAGTAGAGAGGTCTCCCATACAGAGAGACAGGCAACCAGTCATAACATAGAAACATAGAAAAAAAACTAGAAACACAATTTCTAATGTCCATTTAGACATGGAGGCGATCGTGGCTCAAGAGTTGG